GATACCCTATTCGTGACCATAACGGCTGAAAAACCCTAACTTTTGGAGCCACACATACCTATATAGCCCATACAAGGGAGTACACCACCTGGGGGGTGCAATAAGCTTTTTCTTTAACAGGTGTCATATTACACCCCCACCTTCCCACAACGGCCACCTCTCTACAACAGACACCTTCCTCTGTCTCAAAGCTGGCTGTTGTGGAGAGGTTCGACTGTAATAAACATCAAGGTTGAACACTCAACCTTTTTTTTTTTCAGCAGAATATCTGTACTCCACACCACAGCAATTATCCAAGAAGCTGAGATATTTTTGTAAAAATCCACGACATGTGAGGACTCACAAAGTCACTGTAAGTTCCACTAGTGAATAGACAGAGATTTTGAATCGCTATAACACGTCATTATTAGAGCAGTATTAATTAACGCCCCTAAGTAACACCTTTTTCTAGGAATTTTCCTACCAAAAAACCCTTCCGTACAATAAACGTGTATCCTTGATCACGCATGCAATTTCTGTCCCGCGCGGGAGTGTCTATGATACTGATGACGTTAAGATGACGTTACTCTTGAGAGTCTTTTTGTAGTGGTTCTGATTGGTCGGATGCACAAGTAACAACCAATCACGGACGCTACACGGCTCTCTGTAGACTGCGTCATCACTATGGAAACTTTTGAATCTCGGCTGTCATTCGAGCGAAAGAATTCAGTACGCTGTGAGAAACATCTGTGTTTCAGAGTAACTGTTGTGTCCAGCACCGTACCTTTGCACGTAAACTGTTTGTTTTTCCCCATTAAACCCTTATTTCCTTTACAGGCTGACTGGAGACGCTTCACGTGGGACACACTGAAGGATTCATTTTACGAACTTCTTTCTCCTACAGCAGAGGCAAACAAAGCCTGATGTCTGAATTACGCAGAGAATTTCCTTTTATTTTTCTGTCCACCTTGTTAGTTTGTCGTCACTGATGAAGCTACACCTTGTAGCCTGGTAGTAATACTTGATAAATAATAAAATCAATCACGTCATCAATGTGTCAAGTTTTCAGCCAGCCTGCAAAGCTAAGGCCTGGTTCACACTACCGACATAATGGCCTTACGACATAATCGCTTTATGTCGGTAATGTGAACATCGACATAAGGACATAAGGAAAAGATCAGTCTTTTAACTGATGTAGTTATGTTCATGCTGTTATGTTGCAATTGTCATTATGTCAGGATGTTCACACTGCAAACGTAACGACATAACGACCTTCTTCTGTCGTTATGCTCATGCCGTTATCTCGCTATTGTCAACTAGGCTTTAGTAATCATCACATGCCGGGACGAATCGAATTTTGAGGAGGGGGAAAACCGGAGGAGCATATAAAAAAAAAACCCTAGGACCATAGGCAAGGGAAAGCATCGTTGAGATCAGAAGTGGTCCGAACTGTTTCCTCCAGCCTTCAATGGTATTTAAAAATCGTCGGTGATATATACATGTATCATGTCAATTTTCCCTGACTTTTCTTCAAAATGTCAGTTTTCCCAGACCATTCCCTGATCTTAAAGAATTTTTTGACCCCTGACCATTTTCTGACCAGTAGAAACCCTGATTTGACTGGCAAGCACAGGTCCCACTGAAAGACAACAAGGGCGAGAAGAATGAGATATATAGCTATTAAATAAGTGATTTGACAGCGTTTGAAAATTCGCATGTAGTTTATTCATCTTTGCCAGCTTTACATTTGAAATCCA